AAAAGCGCCTGGTCCAGCGCAGCCTCTGGACCTGCCCTTCCAGGAGACACCAGGAAGCGGAGGAGGAAGCCCGCCCCGCGGTGCGGAGGCACCGGTTCACGTGGTTTGCCCGAAGCCGCAGAGATCCAGGGTTTTGCCGCGAGCGCCGTTTCTCCTCCTCACTTTGCACTCTTGGGTGCTGCTTGGGGGGTTCGGTAACGATGGCACGGAACCGCGCGTTCCCAGTGGGCAGGTTGGCATCGCTCCGCAGGCGGCAGCGGCTGCCACGCCGCGGAGCACGGTGAGCCCCGGGAATGCCGCGATGAGAGCGGCAGAGCCGGGAGGTGACGTGTAGGTGCCGTTCATCCCCCTGAATCACGGCGCAGCGCGGCTGAGAGGGTCGAACCGCCCCGGTGCCGAGCAGCCGCGGAGATCCCGGGAAGGGAAGCGCTGCCGTGAGGCTCTGCGGCTGGGGCAGGGTAAAAAAACATCTGGGCCTTCCAGATGTGGTGTGGCTGCATCTCTGGTTTGTGTTTCCCTTCGGTTCAGCCGGCTGATAAGTCAATTAAAACACAAATAGGGTTGCTGTGGGTCTCCAGAGCTGCTGGCACGTCCCTGCCCAGCCTCTCCCCGGGCCTCCCGCCCTCCTCGCTGCCAGGAAGTGCGGCCGCGGCGCCCGCCGCCGCGCTCCCCTCTGCCCGGCGGCTCTGGGCTCGCAGTTCCCTGAAGACCCTTTGAACTAAAACAAGCAGAGCCTTAAGTAACAGTTTCCAACAGTTCCAAACCTCCGTTTTTGACATCAGAGGGCGGCCGCGCTCACGCAGGCTTTTTCCCTTCCTTTTTTATCTGAAAACCCTTAAAAATAAGGACAATAACATCTTCTTTTAAATCTCTTGCTCTCAGTTGGGAGTGTTTTTCCCATACTCATCACTTTAGTTATGTCAGACCTTACAAACTCCTTTTCCGTGTCCGTTTCCCCTTTTCATTTGTCGCCGTCTCCGTAAGTTTCCGTTAGGAAAGCGGCGGGTCTCGGGATGCGGCGGGTGGTGGGCTGAGCTCTGCGCCTTCACCTGAACGTTCCCACTGACCTTCTGCTTTCTTGCAACGTTTAGGTCTCGAAAGCATCTTCTGAGCTCATGAATTACTGCGAGCAACATGCCCGGAACGACCCGCTGCTGGTTGGAGTGCCCGCGTCGGAGAATCCTTTTAAGGACAAAAAGCCCTGTATCATCCTATAGCTTTCCTCGCCCCGGCGCGTGCCATCTCTCAGGCAGGGCACCGTCCTCCATCAACTGAAACCAACCTCCAAACTTAACGACTGCGCCGAGCGGTAAACACTAAACGTTGGATTCGAATAGAACTTAAATCTCAAAAAGAAAAAAAAAA